TCACACCTTGGGCGACTTAAATAGGTGTGCCTTTAACCCCCAAGATTCCCCCACCAGCCCTTCCGGGCTGAGGAATTCTGGGAGTTGAAGTCCACACATCTTAAAATTGCCAAGGTTGAGAAACACTGCTTTAATGAGTTGCGTTAGTCAACAAGCGACTATGGGAACTTTAGGCTGAATAATCTGGAGGGCAGTAGTTGCTTGCCCCTGACTTCCTAAGGACAAACCAAGATACAGGGAACTGAAATTCATGCAAATATATTTGCCTCACAGGCGTCTCTCCTTGTTTCTGTTGTCTCCCTAAGCACCCTCAGCAGAATGCTTGGAACAGTCATTCACAATCTGCCACCTTCCTGACATTTTGGGTTCTAATGGCCTATCACCCCACCCCAACCAGGATGGCCACAGAAGTGCCAGGCTGGTTAGAGAATATGGGATCTGCTGTCCCAACAAACACACCTCTGGAGTGTCCAAGAAGGAAAACGCTATCTTAGACACCGATAAGTTCCTTGAGGGCAGGCAGCCATTGTTCACCAATTGGTATATGTATTTATGGCACTATACGACAACAACCAGTAGTAGTGACAGGGGTGGTGTTGCAAACAGGCAGCTGGAATTGTAGCCTTGTCCCCTCTTAACCGTGCCCTAGGTAGATCATGCCCCTTGTCCACAAGGCAATGTTCTTAATTCATCCTGTACAGCTTAAAGTGACTTAAGCCTGTCCCTTGGTAGGAACAGGCTGAAGTCACTTTAAGCTGTACTTGTGTTACAGTGGTGCTTTCCCTCTTATTCTGAGGCTGCCTAACAAAAACCTGAAGATGATTTTTAATATGTCACCAGACCTTGTCACACATTTCCTTGAAGGCAAAGACCTGTTGTGGGCATGACTAGAGGTGAGCTTTGGGACTCTGGGAGGTCTGGGCATACCCCTGTCCCTTGGTCACTAGCCAGCCATCCCTCACTACAACCATTTCCTGCCCAGCCGTTGCCTTTTCTATATCAATATTTTGATCATCCCCTTTAACAGCATTCCATTTTTTTCCCCTTAAGATGCAACATCCTTGCTTTTCCTCACTGCAGCATTCACAGAAGAATTACAGCTGTTGAACCTGGCTTCTGTTATTTGCTGGTTTTCTTGCATATGCCAGTGTCAGCAGCTTCCCTCCTCCCCAGGAAGCAAGAGACTAGCCCAGCAGCTACTTTCAGTTATTCAGTTCTACAGGACCTAGTTAGTTGCATAACCATGGCAGAGGCTGCCCCTCTCTCCTCCCTCTAGTTATTTCTGCCTTGGAGTGTTTCCATGGGATTCCTAATCTCACATTATCCTAAGCTTGGGAGAAAACCAAATGGGACGTGGGAGGAGAAGCAGAAAAACCAGCCTAGAGAAGGCAGGGGGAAGTCAGATCTTCTTGTTTCTGCTGTAGCGCCCTGATGGGGGCATGTTCTCCCCGTCAGCTGGCGACATGTTGAAAGGGAAGGGCAGCAAAGCCAACGCCAAGGAATGCATTTGGAAGGAGGGACATTAGATTTTTTATGCTGGAGGTCTAAGAAATTTGAGGGCTCACTGACACATATGGTAGGGTCATGTGATCATTTTGTATCTTTTTGGGATTGTGTATTCATGTATGTTAGCAGATTTATGAGAAAACCTTTACATGTTAAAAAATTTAATGGAATGTTGAATTATATACCAAAGCTTTGGAATTTGACTGTTTATCAGGAACTGTGGTTGTATTGGGGGGGGGCGCAAAAAGAATTATATGCAGTAATTGGAAAAGTTATATTATTCCAGATGTCAAGGTATGGTTGTCGGAAATGTGTGATCTGTCTGTTTTGGAAAAGGCAATATTTTCTACCAATCAAAGGATGCAACAATATGTGTTATTATGGCAGAGATTGTTTGTAACATCTTACAATAATATCTTGTATTGTTTATATTATTGTTGTGAATTCATTGGTGAAACAGTGGCTATTGATAAGTATAAAATATAAGATAGATTTTTTTCTTTTCCTTCTAAGTTTGTATTTTTAATTTTTTGAGTTTCTTTTTTTGTAAGCTCCAAGATTGGTTTATTACAAAAAATAAAGATATTAAATATTTTTTTAAAAAGCAAAGTCAATGCAAAAACAAACAAAAAATCATCTTATAACAAGTAGCACATTCATAAATCAGAACAACATAATTCATCAATGACGCAGAACAGATACAATACCAGTAGGATAGAAATTGGCAATGGAGACAGCATTATCCCATGCTGACTTACATTCAGTTGTGAAGAAAGGCCGTAAGACACACTGAGTTATCTAATGTCTCCATGGCAGAAACAAGATTCAAAATGGAGACTTTTGATCTGCAGCCATTCTTTGATACAAGTTATTTTCTACTTACCTCTTGGTCAACTAAGGTGATATCAGGTCTTATACCCTCACAATAATGCAAGTAGCGAAGAGAATTCCCAGGCAGGTCCCCTCTTAGCAAGATGATGGCATCTGGAGGCATGGAGGACAAAAGATTCATGGCAAACCGGTCAACAACATTGTTGTGGCTTTGGTCACAGACACTGGTTCAGAAGGGAAAATTAAAACAAATAAAGAGATTGGTCAACCTGTCAAGCAAACATTTTGTTTTCAGTCCATCCCCAGATAGCTAGATCAACCACAGTCTTTGAAAGGAAGGATGCTATGCACAAGGGAAGAACTTGAAAATACTACTCACAGTGTGCCATCAGACACCTCAGGTGTGCTGTAATGGATGAAGTGCTAAAGCACTGCGTAACCAGATTTCAACCCCCCTCTCAAGCAGAAAACAAAGCACTAGATTCTTGCATCATTACCTTATTTCAAAACTAAACTCATAAACCAAAAAGGGGTTCTTAAAAGATAAAAATGGTGATGGTGGTAATCCACGACCCTGTCTGGAAGTGGGTCCAACTGTTTAGGAACAAAAATAACCAAGGTAACCTGTGGGACTAACGGAATGGCACAGAAACTTCTCCCACTTGCTTGCTGGTAAATGCTATTTTTTTCACCTATAGTAGCCATTTTGTGATTAGGAATCCTCCCTATGGTAGCCTTTCTACCTGTATCCACAACGTGCTCTTCAAAACTTCAAACACACCAAGCCCTTAGCAGCAGAACATCACCAGGAAGGCAGCACTGACATGGAGTTTCACTAATCAGGGCTAAGGTTAGGATATGAAGGGTTAGGATGCAGACTCTCAGAAACTGAATAAACAAACCTCCTGCTCTCATTTATGAGTCAATTCATTAAGGAGGGCTCTCTGTGAGAGGCTTCAACCTCTTTTTACCCCGAGTACATAACAGAAGAGCTAACTGCTTTTTTGCCAGATAAGCAACATCGATTTGCTCTTGGTTTTGAAATACTTCTCTTTCTTTCCCAGCCTCAGTGAGTTATCTTACACCACCTACACATACCATAGCACAGTCAGAGGATAGGACTATGAGTAAGAGAGTGCAAGAATCAAATCTCCAGCCAGAAACTTTTGGGGTGAATCTGTGCCTACCTTAACCCACTGGAGATAAAAGGAGATGGGAGGAGCACACATGTTGCCCTGAGTGACTTGGGGGAGTGAGGAAGAAAAACATATGGACACTGATGCTCTGTCCACCAAACGTCATTAACCCCTGCCTCCCTGTTCATTACCTGTAATTGGAATAGATCTGAGCAGTAACACAAGCAGCTGCCACCAGCCATTCCAGACGGTGAATCATTCGGCTGTTTCCAACAAATATCTCCCCAAGACAAAAGAGCAGAGAGAAGCCGAAGCCAGCTAGAACGACAAGCACTGCATTGCTTTGCATCCAGAATCGCTCAACCTGTCGAAGAAGACATTGTGTTTTCGTCCTGTTCTGGAAGAAGGATTGTTTATTGCACTTTTCCCAAAATTTGCAGTGGCCTTTGGATGCAGCTTTTGCAAATATGATGCTTCTAGGGGATTACTGGGTTTTGAAGACGATGTAGGCCAGTCATACAGCACAGGTGCTGGTCTCACTGGTCCAGGTTCCTCCAGTTAAGAGGATCAAAGAGCAGCACCCTTCTCTGCCAGAGTCCTCAGTGAGGTGTTGTAAGCAGAGGCCAAACAGGTGTGAGAGGAAAATTTTAGTAGCCTTTTGTATGTTTTCATGTTAATTTTGATTGCATTTAATAAAGCCAAGTTAGCTAAAAAGTGGCCTGTAGAGCAGTAAGAGGAAATAAGTAAACTTGCAAGACTAAGCAAACTGCTGATGGGAAAAGACATGACAAAGGAAGTATGGTAAAGTATGGTAAAATTAGCACCAAGGAAGTTATGATTCAGTTGCAAATCCTGAGAGTCATGATTGTGGTTTGCGGTTTTAAAGGATAAAAAGGATTGCAACTAAGGGGTCTTCACCCACACGGTCAACCTGTCTCAGTTGATGGCTTGTTCTTGTCAGTCTGCGTTGCAATGTGAATCTAAGTACTGTAAGTACCTTGTATGCTATTGGTTGAATTTTACTTGCTTATTGAACTAACATTTAATAAAGCTTTTAGAACTTGGAAGTGACTTATGTTATGGTGTGCCTGTCTCCCGTGTTTAATGAGATTTTTTCCCTGACACAGGCAAATATCCTGGCCTGGAATAAAAGCACTTTTTATACGTGTGCTTCCAGCTTTTAAACACCAATGTTGGGGGGATGTTTATAATAATACTGAATAGGAATCTGCAAAAAGAAAGCAAGTTTCTAAAATGCATGGTGCCTCCCTCCAGAATCCCAGTTTTGTTTTTAAATTAAAATTATCTCTTTTAGTGAAGCAAACTCACCACCCCCTTAAACAGGGGCTTTGAAATATCCAAATTTGCCCTCCAAGCGAAGAACAAAGAATACGTCAAAAACATTGAAGTAAACAGCCAAATCAAGTGTGACTTCTCTGTCTTTGGCCTAAAATGGGGAAGAGACAAACTTTATTAAGACAGTTTACACATGCAACAAGAAACTGCAGAATGAACAAAGCCTACTACTTAGATTATTCTACATATAACACAAATTAAAGGGAGAGATGAATGCCAGTGACAGTAACTGGAGCAAATCATGAAAAATAAAATCGTACACATCTGTTCTCTGACTTAGTGCCCTCCAGATGTGTTGTACTACACTTCTGTTACTCCCAGCCATGGCAGCTGCAATCCAACACATCTAGAGGACACCGGCTGGGAATGACTGATTTAAAGTAAATAAATGAACAAGGTTTTTTAAAACTTAAAATTCCTTTAAAATAGTTTTAAAATCTTTTAATATAATAAATATATTGTATTTACCGAAAAGGAAGTTGACCCTGAATTAAGATGATCCCCATACCCCAAAGTAAGAGCAGATAAATCTATCTATCCATCATCCATGCATGCATGGGCAAACTCTTTCCCACCTTTTAGTCTAGACCAGTGTTTCTCAACCTTAGCAACTTTAAGCTGTATGGACTTCAACTCCCAGAATCCCTCAGCCAGCATGGCTGGCTAGGGAATTTTGGGAGTTGAAGTCCACACAGCTTAAAGTTGCTAAGGTTGAGAAACACTGGTCTAGACTAAAAGGTGGGAAAGAGTTTGCCCATGCATGCATGG